GCGGTTTATGGTGCCGCACAGCCCGAGCTTAAACCGGAGTTTCTGGCGGACCTTGTTCGAATCTGTGGGTCCGAGCAGCTTCCAATTTTAGTTTGGGGTGATTTCAATATCATTAGGAGGAGAGAGGAGAAGAATAATGATAACTTTGACGGCAGGTGGTCGTTTATGTTCAATACCACTATTGAAAGCTTGGATCTGAGGGAGATAGAGCTTTCTGCTAGAAAGTTTACCTGGGCTAATGCTATGCCAAATCTGACTTACGAAAAGCTTGATCGAGTTCTCGCAAACGTGGAGTGGGAACAGAAGTTCCCTCTTGTTACGGTTCAAGCTCTCTCGTGGGGCGTATCCGATCACACACCCTTGTTCGTGGACTCAAGGGAGCCGAACCATGTGGGAAACAAGAACACCTTTTCATTCGAGAAGGCCTAGTTCAAACGCGAAGGGTTCTTGGACCTGATTGCCAGGGAATGGGCTAAGGGTGCAGGAGGTAGGACTGCGGTCGAGCGTTGGCAGAATAAGATTAGGAATTTGAGAAGTTTCTTACGGGGTTGGGCTAAGCACCTTAGTGGGGTGTATAAGATTGAAAAGGATAGGCTCCTTTCTCTTATACAGACCCTAGACTTAAAGGCTGAATCCACCATTTTGATGCCAGCTGAGCTTCAGGTTAAAAATGAGGCAGAAAAGAGGTTGAAAGAACTTCTTCGCGAAGAAGAATTGAAGTGGGCTTTGCGGGCTAAGGTCCGCAAAGTGGTCCAAGGGGACGCGAATACTCAATTCTTTCACTTGATTGCTAATGGTAAGCACAGAAAGAAGAGAATCTTCCAACTTGAACAAGACGAGGGCACTATTTTAGGACAGGACAACCTAAAAAACTATATAACTGAGTATTATAGGCAGTTATTTGGACCTCCGGAGGATAATTATGTGTCCCTCGATGAGTCCAGGACTGAGGATGTGCCGAAACTATCGACTGCTGATAATGATATTCTAGTTGCCCCGTTCTCAGAGAAGGAAGTGTTTGATGCTATTGCACAGATGAAAAACAATAAGGCTCCTGGACCGGATGGATTCCCGGTCGAGTTCTACAAAAAGTGCTGGCACATTATTAAGGGGGATTTGCTACCTTTGTTTCATGATCTGTTCTCTGGACAGCTTCACTTATTTCACTTGAATTTTGGAACTATCACGCTGCTTCCTAAGAAAACGGATGCTATGAGAATTGAGCAGTTCAGGCCGATATGCCTTCTCAATGTTAGTTTCAAAATCTTTACCAAGGTCGGGACTAATAGGCTCACACAAATTGCGCATTCTGTGGTGCAACAATCCCAAACTGCTTTCATGCCGGACATAAACATCCTTGAAGGGGTGGTTGTCCTTCATGAAACGCTCCATGAAATCCATTCCAAAAAATTAGATGGAGTAATTTTTAAGGTGGATTTCGAGAAAGCGTATGATAAGGTCAAATGGCCTTTCCTCCAACAGGCATTGCGTATGAAAGGTTTTGATGAAGCCTGGCGCCGCCAGGTTGAATCATTTACGCAAAAAGGGAGTGTGGGAATTAAAGTGAATGACGATATTGGTCATTACTTCCAGACACATAAAGGCCCAAGACAAGGAGATCCGATGTCCCCTATCCTGTTTAACATTGTGGTTGATATGTTAGCGATTTTGATGGGAAGGGCTAAGGAGAATGGTCAAGTAGGTGGCTTGGTACCTCATCTTGTTGATGGAGGTATATCCATCCTTCAGTACGCTGATGATACAATCATTTTTATGGAGCATGACTTGCCCAAGGCGAGAAATATGAAGCTGGTGTTATGCCTTTTCGAACAATTGACCGGGTTAAAGATTAACTTTCATAAGAGCGAGTTGTTCTGCTTTGGTAGAGCCAAAGACGAACATGAGGCTTATAGGCAATTGTTTGGGTGCGAGTTGGGGGATTTACCTTTCTCTTACCTAGGTATCCCAATCCACCATCGTAAGCTGACAGTCAGAGAATGGAAGTGCATCAAAGACCGATTTGAGAAGAAACTGAGTTGCTGGAAGGGCAAGCTCATGTCATACGGAGGCCGATTAATTCTGATAAATTCGGTGCTCGCGAGTATGCCTATGTTTCTCTTATCGTTCTTTGAAGTCCCAGTTGGTGTCAGGAAAAGACTGGACTTTTATCGATCGTGTTTCTTTTGACAGGGTGATTAACTAAAAAGAAAATACCGGCTTGCTAAATGGGATATCATCTGCAGACCGAAAGACCAAGTGGGTCTTGGTATTGAGAATCTTGAAGTAAAGAACAGATGCCTTCTTAGTAAGTGGATGTGGAAGTTGTCATCTAAGACTGATGCCACGTGGGCACAAATCCTTCACAGCAAGTACCTACAGACAAAATCCTTGTCCCAGGTCACAGTCAGGCCGACTGACTCGCCTTTGTGGAAAGGACTGATGAAAGTCAAACAATCCTTGTTTTATTGGACAAAGTTTGTTATTGGCAACGACGCTATTACACGGTTCTGGGAGGATACTTGGCTCGGCGACACACCCTTGGCTATTCAATATCCGTCTTTATATCGTATTGTTCAACGACGTGAGGTGTTCGTTGCAACGGTATTTCAATCTGTCCCCCTTAATATTCAATTCAGACGGTCGCTAGAGGGCAATCGTTTGGAAGAATGGCTCCATCTAGTTAGAAGACTGATGGAGGTTCAGCTTTCTCAACAACCTGATGAATTACGTTGGAAACTGACTAGGTCTGGAGTATTCACAGTTAAATCAATGTATATTGATGTTATTAATTCGAACTCCATTCCTACCTCCAAGCATGTTTGGGCTGTCAAAGTTCCATTGAAAATAAAAGTGTTTATGTGGTTTGTCCATAAACAAGTTATTTTAACCAAGGACAACTTGATAAAGTGTAATTGGACAGGACCTACTAGGTGTAGTTTCTGTGATCGGGATGAGACGATCAAACACCTCTTTCTTGATTGCCCGTTGGCCAAGGTCCTTTGGCGGACGGTCCACATTGCTTTTAATATTACTCCACCGAATTCTGTCAACACGTTATTTGGGACATGGCTTAATGGGATTGAGCCTGACTTAGCGAGACATATTCGTGTTGGAGTTTGCGCTTTGTTGTGGACTATTTGGAATTGCATAAATGATTTGGTTTTTAACAGAACATCACGTATTCACTTTTTGCAGGTTATTTTCCGAGTCACGACATTGATCCGTTCGTGGTCGCTACTCACTCCGATGGAGGCCAGGGAGCATTTGGTTACTGGATCCATCCGCTGGGAGATGGTAGCTCGGGATATCTTCAACCAGTTTGGATGGCGGTCATGTAATAGGATAGGCAATTAATTTACCTATCTATCTTTAGCCGGCCGGTTGTGGCATCTTTGATTGGCTAGTTTGTGTTTCTAGCCCATTTTGGCTATGTGTTAGCTTTCTTTTCAGTTTTTTACTGTTGGAGACTTTGGCACCTTGTTTGGAACCTTTTTATTTGGTTAATAAGATGGCCGTATGCATCACTCTGATGCAGAGGCCGGGGAGCCCCCCCTTTTCGAAAAAAAAGCAATATAAACTCATCAGATCCGAACTGCAAGGACAAAAAACTCTCCAACCTCATGGCACCGCCGAAAGAATAAGTGAAAACTTATTCTCACACAACTATAATGATAATTGGATGTTGACGAAGAACATAGAGGTCTTGAAGATCCGAGGCCCCCCAACCCCGCAGCGTCAAGATGATAGTTGAAGACGAGGGGGGCATTTCCTATTTGGCGCTGCAGGCGCCGTTACAGTGCAATTTTGCAAACAGGCTCCTGCAGCAGTCTAAATTGGGCCGGCCCATTCTTGTTTTCAAAAGATCAAAAATAGTGCTTGAAGTGGGGTTCGAACTCACAACATTTCTTTGTAAGCGATCGCCTCTAGCCTGTGGCTGTCGACCCGCGAGTGTTGGGTCGTTCACTTTTCGGTGTTTATTTCATTCTACAGCTTGGTTTATTCTTTTTTTCTCATTTAATTTGTTTTCCTTATTGCGTGGGGTTTTTTAATACATGAACTTTTTCGTTAAATAAGTGAACCTTTTTTAGAAAATCGCTGAACTTTTTTATAAATTGTTGAACTTTTTTCAAATTCAATAAACTTTTTTTCAAATTAGTTGACGTTTTTTGAAATTTGATGAATTTTTTTTCAAATTCGTTGAACTTTGTTCAAATTCCATGAACTTTTTTAAAAAAATTGATGAACAACTTTTCAAGTTGGATGAATTTGTTTTTCAAATTCGATGAACTTTTTTCGTATTCATGAACTTTTTCGTTTTTGTGAACTTTTCCTTTCAATTCATGGATTATATGAACGCCTTTTCAAATATATGTTTTCTTTATTCAAAGAATTTATAGGGGGTATAAAGTACTAGTATATGTTTAATGTTTGTACTGTACAGATTTAAGTGCTTTGTACTGTACAGATTAAAGTGCTGTGTTTTCTCGATATGTAAGGTCTAGTTCTTGCCGCGGTAGTGGTCCGATGAACTTTTGAAATAGATATGGATCTTTTTCGGCAAAAAGGCGGTCTAGCAAACAAGCATCTTTTTTTTTCAGGGCCCTTTCAGCTTGTGTTCAACTTAATCTCCTTTTGGAACGAACAACAATTTGCAACGACCTTTATTTATTTATTAAAATGCCAAGCATGTTGGTCTATCGGTCGATACAGCACCTGAAAACAAGCAAGATGCCGAGGCAGCATAACACTAACTACGTAGCTGCTGCTTATCCATCAGCTAGCTAGGCGGAGAGCCGGAGATGACTCCACTCCACACTTACACATCACCTGCGACTCTTCTGGGTCTTATTTTTCTTACTAAGAACCATCATCTATCTAGCTAGTGACGTGCGTGAGCCTTATTTCTGAAGAACCAACCTTCAATATACTGGTAACATGCATGCGATGCATAGATAGATGCATGCATGCATGCGACGTGCTGCTTTGAGTGGCTTGATCGATCAGCAGCGGTTGTCGACGAACCCGACCTTGCCTCCACGCAGATCGTAGACCACCTCCGTGTACGCCTGCGCCAGCGACCCGATGACGGAGACGCCCGACCCGTACGCCGGCGCCGGCGCGAACGCGAGGCACGCCACCGAGAAGATGTTGTGGGGGTTGCTGAAGTACATCATCTGCTCCAATCCGAGCTCCAGGCTCGCCCCACCCTCAAAGCTGAGCGTGATGCTCGGCACACCGATAGCGTCCATGTCGGTGAAGTCGTAGCACGTGTCGAGCTCGCCGGACGATGGCGCCACCTTGTAACTGATCATCCACAGCCTGAACAGGCCGCGCAGGTACTCGTACACTTTCGGCTTCAGGTAGGTGAACGTGGTCTGCACCTCGACCAGCGCGTCGCCGGCGAGAGCCTCGGCGGAGATCGGGAGGTCCAGCCCGCCGATACTCACGCCAATGAGCCTCAGGAAGTAGAGGTTCCGGCGGGGGGCTCTGCTGTGCAGGGTGGCGTAACTCACATTGCGGCCGGCGAGCTCGGGCCGGATGGTGCCGAAGGAGAGGAAGCCCTGGGACTCGGAGCCTCTGGGCAGGCAGTAGGAGAAGGCAACCGTGTCCGGGGACAGAAGAACCCGTGAGGCCAGCGAGTAGTGGTTCCTGCTGAGGTCGAGGACTCCCGACGTGCCGTCCGTCGGCACCTCGCTCATTATCTCCATGCAAAGGAACATATCTCCATGCAAAGGAACCTGAAGCCGCGCAGGTGGACCGACGGCGCCACCGTGAGGGTGTCCTTCTCCATGGACGCGTTCAACACGAGGGAGCCGTTGTGTGTCACGCGGAACGTGCAGCCGGGGGTGGAGCAACGGGTAAAGGGACAGCTAGCCTTCCCATGTCCTGCCGCATGGAATGTCGTAAAGAGATGATGAGTGGGAGGGGTCGAAGACCTTGTCGCATGGGTCCCCGGCGGCGCATGGCTTGCACTGCAGAAGCGTGGCTCCGATGGTGGCCGTGTCGAATCCGACGGTGAGGTTCTGCGCCGGAGTACCTAAGCCGACGACGACGTGGTATTCCGGTGCGTCCGGAAGATCCACCAAGGGGGTGCCGGTCGAGGGGATCGTCAGACCAGGGCTGTCCGCTGAGTCGTCGAGGAGCCCGCGTAGGCGGAGGGCGTCGCGGCTGGAGGCGTCGCCGACCGAGGGCATGCTCTGGCTCAGACCGGCGGCAGAAGGAGAGCACGGGCTCAGCCGATGCGTGATGCGTCACAGCCAGTCCATTGCCATCTCCTGCAAGGTGTAGACAAGTCAGCAACTTATCATAAAGAGCAAGCACATGAAGATATATACAATGGAATTCTCACCAGAAGGGTTGGAGGAGCAGGTCGATGGTTTCTTGGACTCATGGGACGAACGAGTGATGACATGCTTTCCGCCATTGATGGAGCCTGTGCGGTAGGAGCTGCCGAGATGGGGAGCAAGAACGAGCACGCACAAGAGCAGACAGGGAACGGCGGAAGCCATTGCTGCTTGTACTAGTATCTCGTAACGTGTCGCTAGTAGTGGAGATCGGAAGCCGGGTGGTAGTTGCATGGTACCTGGCGGAAGCCTGCCTATATATAGCCATGAATGAGCACATGAGGTACGTCGAGGACGTCAGCATTGTTCTTGTTTAGCAGCTGGGTTCTTCTATGGCGACTGATATCAGATATGTGGGCATATAAAATGGTTATTCTCAGCCTAGTGCGTGTGGTTCCTCTTGTTTATATGCTTCCACGATCAGCCCAAAGCTTCGCGCACGTATAAACAGCGTGTGCATACGTAAGTGGATCGGGATCAACGTCCTTGATTCCGACACTGAGGCTAAAATTGCACGGCTAGCCGGCACAATTGAGCTTTCAAATATATCTATCCATATCACATACCTTCAGTGCCAGTTGCAAAAGTTGGATTTTTTTTTCTGCACAGAAGGTCTTGTTTACCTTGCATCCTAATTGGCTTACCTTCATTGTTGCTAGTCGCAAAAGTAGTTTTTTGTAACATAGGACGTTGTTACCTTGCATCGGCCAGGTGTCTCGGTACTACTCCATCATTTTGCTCCTTTGCGTGCCAATGCATCATCTTCGCGACCTTGTTACTAAAATAAACGCTTCAAGAGAACAAATATGTGGTTGAATGGTTAAGAGGGACTCGGCTGGTTGCCACGTCGCGTAACCCTAGATGACATGGGCGGTGTCCCACTCTACGCGCCTCCGGCACTCCCACCTCCGGTTCCTTCCCTCGCCGCCGTGGGCAGCCACCTTCGGGCAAAGCCCGTGTTGTGGCCGCGGCGGCGGGGTCTTCCTCCTTCACACACACGTCCCTGCAATTCGCGGGCCAATGCGGCGGTGCCCCGGCAGTTGGCGGCGAGGGGCGGCGCGGCCCCTGGTCCGACGGCCAGCGGCCTTGCACGGTGGTGCACATCCCTCCCCTAGCATCGCATATCTGCGGCGGCGGCGGCCCAGTGTCTCCTCTGGTTGCGTTCTCTTCACTCCCTCGCCGTCGTCACAGGGGTGTAGTTCGTGCGGCGCGTCCCCTCCCCATACTCCACCT